GGAAACGTGGGATTGCTGAAACATTTCTAGAAAGCCCTCTCTAACTGTTTTGGTACATTACATACAAGCCTACGGTAACGACGTCATGTAACTGGATGAGGGATTCCGACGATTAGAGAGCGAGAGCGCTCAGGGGCTAGAAAGTCACCGACAGCGAAATGTCTACCAGTGGGAGCGGAGTGGAAAGCGGCCAGCAAGACTGTTGCTCTTTTGCCATGTATTTTAAATATGACCCGCTTCCCACAATCATAGATTCGCAGTGATCAAGGAATACGACCCTTCCCTCCAAAAATCAAAACGTGACCGCTCATCCCCTCCTGATTAGACTTGGCAGAACGGTTTGGTGACGCTCGTTGAAGAATGTACAAGCTTCTACAAGTCGCATCAGCTGATAGAACCCGGAGATAAGCGAACAAAAAATTGGTGCTTTCATTTTGCCGAACCTTTTTGACGCCATCGAAGGGTGAAAACCGTGGTTACACTCGTCTAGAGGGGTTCCATTTTTGCGAGCCCCCCCCCCCCCCCTGCGCAACATGTTCACTACGCGCCAAAATATTATAAACTAAACATTGAAAATGCAAGTCAAGTACATTTGATGCAGCCAAGTCAGCTGCTGCAGGTAGGAAAAATGGAAACCGAGAAAAAAAGAATTCTAATCGTTCTAGTACCTGGAATCGTTTGCTGAGTGAGTATTTTGCAACGTTGATGCCCATACCATCAGCTTCGGATCGTGAAAGAATAAGCACGTAACCGAAGAGAGAAATCGTGCCGACTTCGACCATCGTGCACACGCAGATACGAAACAGCATTGCGTAGCGGTCTGGCAGAGATGCGCCATCACAGATGCATACACCTTGATCACTGAAGAAAATAGTTGTAGTAATCGCCACGAACTACCTTTCCAGTTTCTGCATCTTTAGTAGTCAAGATCGAGTTAGGACCGTGGCAGGTTTTAAGGCAGCTACCTATACCAGTAACTGGCTACTTTTGTCATTTCTGTTACATTCACGGACATGTAGGTCGAGCAAAGAAGTAATGGGAAAGTAATCCATTAAAAACGCTGAAAGTAGATACCTTCATATTTTTGTCGTTCGGCTATACAGGATGGGCCAAAATTATGAGGACAGCGTGAGCGCGCAACTCTGCATCTCCACCTCCTTCATGCACTATGTGTAGGGTACAATGTCTCTTCCTATTGAAACCAAATTATCATGCAGTTCTCAAAACTAGTGAAATAACTACTTCACTTTAGTCAGTCCTCAAATTGAACTCACTAGGGGCTCTGGCACGTTACATCTAGCAGCAGTCTAACCTATCAGGGAAGCTCTTATGAGCAACAGTTCAACTCTTCAATAAGTTTGGAACCACCACAGATGGAAAATTCGGAGACTCGAAAGTTACAGTTACCACCAGGACAATTATCAGATGCAGAAACTAGGCTCTCCCCTTGTCGACTTTCGTACCCCAAAATGAAAAAATTGGTGTAAATACCCATCTGGACATCTAACACTACACATACAGTAGCGGTCAAAAGTGTTCGCCGAAACGATTTTTCGTGCATTATTTTTTCTCGCTTGAGCAACGCCCTCCAAAGATTGATATACTATGTTTTCTAGTGTTTTTATATCCTCAAGTCTTAAAGAATCAGGAAGAAGAGAATCAAACATTCGAGGTCACCACTGATATTTTCCTGGCAAAAAAAAGAGAAGCACGAAAAACCGTTTCGGCAAACACTTTGACCGCTACTGTATGCCGTGGATAAGAAACCACTCGAGCTCTCTATTTGGGAGTTTTCACAGGACAGAGCACTTAGTCGCGAAGCAAAAATTCTGTAAAAAGCTTGTTTTTGTTTGTTAACTGCTGTTTTTGGCCGCAGTTCGCCTTGCGAATAGTCCCGCCTGGGGCGAAAGTTTTGTTCACAACCCAGCATTCTTGTGAAACATTCTGCAAAAAGCGTTTTTTTCGAGTTCATTGCTTTCAGGAAGTTGTTACAATAACACCATCCACCTAATAGCTCTAGATTTCTGTATTTTACACCCTGGATGCAAGCGCAAATAAATGCAACACAAAAGTTTGATTCCCTGAAGAAGGCAGAGCAGAAGGCCTGGAAACATTTGGACACGCCTTAGTTGCGTGCCACCGCACGCGCCATCCCATCCCCCACCCCCCTCGTTTAATCTGAAGGCTCGGGCAAACCAGACAGCATTACTCAATCCTCACTTCGATATGAGGTTACAAAACACTTCACTGAAGTAATATTTGGTCCTGTTTTATTCAAGGCCACCTACATATGTCGTCAGTCACTATAATATTGACCCACCTGTTATAAAAGAGTTGCGAGAATGCTCCGGTGCGCAGGAGGAGTAAATAGATGGGAAAGCACACTGCAATAAGCGGACAGGCACCAACATTTGGAAGGTAAGTGAGACGGTCTAGAGTGCGCTCAGAAGCCTTGAGCCATTTGCTAAGCACAATTAGCCTAAAAGAACAGGGCACCCACAATTTGATTGGCAGCTCTAACTGTACCCATTAAAGAAAGCGTTCCTTGAACTAAGCGTAGGCGTGTATTTGCTTATGTGCCTTTAAGTTTCTCACACATTTCGCTCTCAAAGTTACTCGACATGAATAATGTGCTTCTAATCTTGACTCATGATATGTGTCAACATTATTTCTAACGAAAAAAAAAAAACACAACAATAAATGAAAATCAAGAAAAGTCGAGAAGTCAATTTAAATTTCGGGAAACTTACGTCAAGTTCATGTAGTAGTTGAAAGTGACAAACGCGGCTGCACAAATTGCCAGGAAGAAAATCACCTAAATTCTTGCTATGAAAAATCCACAACAGCTGTTTCACGAAGATTGCTGGGTTCCATTGAACAACACTTGTCACACGCTTTCGAATCTCCGTCTGAGGCAGAAAGTTTTGTTCAACATCCTCAGGCCATTTTGTGAAACCATTGGCAAGGAGAACTGCGGCCAAAACGAGCAGATATACAAACAAAAACAACTCTCACAAACAGTGTTTTTCTGTGTATGGGAAACTTACCTTCAACACGGCTTCGAAATGACCGCTTTGTAAGATGTTCTCCTGTGTCGCTAAAGAGTCGCCCAACTCCGACCAGTTAGAAGGCAATGTGCTTGTCGCACTCCCTATAGCACCCATAAGGGGGTCACCACAGAACACCAGGACTGAAAAAGGCCTGGTGATTGCATTCTTACGATTAGAGTTCTTCTTTAGCTTCGCTCGATCCCTACGATGCTCACGGCGCATGATGTGATTTTCTGAAGCGCGGCATGATTGAAGCGCAGTTGGAAAGGCGCTGGTTTTCGTCTTTACGGATCATAGGATCGAAGTTTGCTCGGGTTTACCAGGGATTTTTCGCCTTCCCTGAACTGATCTGCCAGTGTTGGAGTTGAGCTAATAACATGGGAACTTGGACTTATAAATAGTTAATGTTTGTGCAGGTCATAATATGCATTCAGGAGGTTTGCGATTTGCGACGGAAACCATGTAAAACAGAAACCTAGAGAAGACCTGTAGTGCGCGGCTGAGAGAGTTCCTGGGTTGATGCAGTTTTTGGTTATTTGAATATTTGTTTTTTCTTTGCCAGATTCTTACTTCACGGTCCCCTTTTTCGCTACATGTCATGTCGGCGTAAACTTCACGGCGGAGTTGTTGAATGGTCAATGAATGTCGTGAATAATTCTGACGTTGTGTCTTCACGAAGTGGTCGTTGGTTAATGGGCTCATTAGCAGTGAGTTCTCGGTAGGCACCGAGTTATCGTCCAACAAATTAATCGATGGACCTCGAAAAAGCATAAGAATTGTATATTGAGCAAATTTGAGCCAGTGAATGATTTCAGCTTCAAAAGATGAGGATGGGGAACTCGGAATATTCTGATGCTGATAGGCTGCCTCTGGCACCACTGTGGCGACACCTACAATTGGTTCAAGTGTGAAATCTCAAGTTGAAATCCACCCCCGGCCAGTGTTATTGAAAGTTTGGGGAATGAGAGCTTTCGAATGGGAAATCACCTTCCGTCTAGCGATATCAATGCTTTTGTGAGATCGCTTATTTACTACTGACTTTTTTAGGCAGTTAAGAACATTGGTGTAAATGCTACGACAGTCATTATGTAAGGCATTTCGCGTTTGAATGCCACTGTAATGAGAGTAGAATGCTTGGCGTTCCTCGAAATGTACACGCCAGATGCTCTATACCTTTTCTTTTCTGTTATCCGTTCTTTTCTGCCTAAAAAAGTCAGTAGTTTAGTTTTTCATAGTCGAGCTTTTTCGAGTTCACAGTTTTAGAGCATTCAATTGAGTCGGTGCTTGTGGATAGGAGGCGAACACACGGCGCATCCCAATAGGCTTCGTGAGCGTTCGGTACTTCATTACTTTCCCTTTTCATCACTGCACAATCACGTGTATTACTGCTACTTACTCACTTATTACTACTGCCCAGGTATATTGTTATTGTTACTAACTCAACTTCGTTCGGTCTTCCTCTCAACAATGGAGTTATCGGCAGGGACTAATCCTCAGTTTCTCTTAGCGGCTCATCGCTGACTAATCTTCGCCGTGGTCACTGGGTGTGTACTCACTAATCTTTTAATAATTCTCATTCACCACACTTTCGCTACGAAGCCTTCCTCATGGAGCTAGGAGTGGAGGAAGAGGCCATGTCGACCGATGGCCATCAGGGCTGACTCACTCGAAATTGATGATGTAATCGGTAAGGAGAGCAGATTCTTTTGTCTCAACGTATAGCATAATTATATCTAATTATGTGCTCTTGTTCGCTCATAGGAACTAGGAAATGTGTATTAATAGATTACGTGGGAGAATCTTCATAAATCCAGCTTCCATTCAGAATCGCAAAGGCTTTTGAATGGGTATCCGTCCTATACAATGACTTACTTGGATCGTTAGTAATTCAATTAGTTTTTGTCCTTTGAAGGTACTTTTCATGATAGAGAGTAGAATGTGGCTATCAGGAAATGTGGCTTCGAAGGCCTACAAGCGGAGAGGTAGAAATATGGAGCAGCAGGTGTCGTGCTCTACCAGGGAAAAGAAGTGGACAGAACCACCATAAAAGAGCCCTAGCATTGCGATTAATCATGTCGCGGAAAATGCGCGCGCTGGCGAGAGACTCAGACGACGAAGAGGTGGATTAGAATTGTAACAGGAGAAACGCAGACACATCTTTAGTGTGATTTTATTTCTGGGACGTGCTTTGCGAATGGTATGGGGATAGTGGGTGGTATAACCTTTGCACAGCAGCTAAGAGCCTTAAGTACGGCACAAGCTGTTTGCTTCCACTCTCACGGTGAGGGAATTGTTCTGCTCGGGTGACCGCGGACTTGTATTTTCGGAGAGGAGAACTTGAAAAAAACCTACTCTTACACTGAACGCCTTGCATTTATGATGGAATCAAAGACATGGGATGGTCATCCGAAAGAGCTCTAAAATATTGAAAGTGCAATTTGAATGGGTGCCAATTAGGGTCAACTTTTTTGAATCGGCATTTGTCATGACGCGTGGGATTTAGCAGAACGAACACATACGAACCATGAAGATAGTCCTAGATAGGATCTAGAAGAGGAAATCTCCTAATACAGTGGATCTTCATTAGCATGCATACCCGCTGTAGCTTCGCCGCCAGTTGATTCGTATGGCAAAACCGAGCTACCAGAAACGGAGGTAACGTCGCTGCAATGAGTTCCAAGGCGTTTTTCCAATCAGTTTAGGGACGAGAAGTTCTTTGCAAATCAAAGGAAGTGAGTACGAGGTGGGTCCGCGCACCAGGAAAGCATAGGCACCAATGGAAGCGTTATCCAGAAAACAGAGGTGGGGGTGGGGAGGGGACAATTGTGGTGCTTTCGCTGCAAAAGCGTGCTATAAGCAACACAATTAGGCTCCAAACCCAAACCGGCCCGCCTCTTCTGAAGGCGGCCCGCCCCCAAA